CCTCACACGGCTCCGGGGGGTGAATAAAGGCCTCCTGTAGCGAATCCATGCATTTTTGTAAGATAAATATCCATATTTTTTTCTCACTTCGCTGACTGTGGTACGCGGAAGCTGTTCCGGCGGATGACGTAAGACGTTGGCGTTGCGTGATTAGTGACGAACGCGGAAACAAAACGCCGTTCACGAATTTGAAGCACAAAACGAGGATTTGTAAAGAAAAATGTCGGAGGATTTCGATATAAGCCAAGAGGAGACTGGTTTTCCTTTGCTAAAGTAAGGAAACTTTGTTTCCTTTGCTCCTGCATTTCTCAGAGGCGCGCGCACGACGCATACGTCTTACGTCATCCGCCTGAACGTCTTCCGCGTACCACAGTCAGCGGAAGTGAGAAAAAAGTGTTTATTACGTTTGAAATATGGATAATTATCTTACAAAAATGCATGGATTCACTACAGGAGGCCTTTATTCACCCCCCCGGAGCCGTGTGAGGGACGTTTCATTATGGATGCACGCACTTTCTTTCACGTCTTCTGAACTGTTGACAACCAACACCCGCTTACCCCCATTGAAAGCCAGGGGCCAGGACAATTTTTAATATAACTCCGATTGGATTCGTCTGAAAGAAGAAAGTCACATATACCTAGGATGCTTTGAGGGTGAGTAAAACACAGGCTAATTTTCATTTTTGGGTGAACTAACCCTTTAAACAGGATCTTTAACATCCTGTTTTCACTGCACAAATACTAATACATTTAAAACATAGGAGTGGTTTTCTTTCCTTTTAGGCTGAAAGTCAAAACAAATCGTACAATGTTCGCTCCTCAGCATCCTTCAGTGTCATAGAGATGCCATATAAAAATCTGTATTCTGAGCTCCCAGCCAGCACAACATCGGTAAGTTCCTATAATCATCAATGTAAAGGGGACATAACTTTGATCTTTTTCTTGGAGTTTCTTGGGTCAGAAAGAGTGGAATGGTTAACCACTATTTATGAGACTTTTTAAAGCAAAGAAAAAAAAATCATAACCAAAAAAAATAGAACACATTTGTGCACTGAATATATGGTGTTTTTCTGTCTTCACTGATCACGACTGAGGGTTGTATGATCATGTCAGCGTCACTATCACGCATCTCTGTCCTGCAGGCCTCTCTGAAGGTGATCTGGAATTCAGAGAACCCTCAGCCTGTCCCAGGATGGGTGGTGGCTCTGGCTGTCCTGGCTGGACTTCTGCTCCTGGCTCTGCTCATCTTTGTCATGTATAAGGTGAACAGCTGTAAACTAGTCAAATAACTTAGACTGATTGAGAGTTTGATGGACTATGGATGCCAGAATTAGTGTTGCTAATTTTATAAATATTAAAAATATTATTTTTATATTTTTAGCCTCTAATCAGTGACTATTACTTGCGTTTCCATGGCCTATTCAATAGTTATTTATTTTATGTCAAATGTAAAAAAATATCTGTCTCTTTTGTGGTTTACTTCATTTTCAACAGTATTTGTATCAATGACGGAAGTTTTGGTATTGAACTATCCATTCAAATATCATTGACTGGTTCCATCTTGATTTCGCTCCTCCTCAGTTGGGCTTCTTTAAACGTGTGCGGCCGCCCCAGGATGACAGCATAGAGAAAGAGCAGCTTCAGCCTCAGGAGAACGGAGACAGAAACACAGAAGCCTGAGCTCTTCATCTTCACTAGTCTATCACAGTGCCAACTCAATAATGCCACAGCAGCAGGAGTGTTCCTGATTTACAGCAATGCTGATGAGAGTACAACACATCCTTCATCTTTATTAGCAGGTCAGCCTTTAATCATCCAGACAGCCCTGATGAGTGAGATGGCTGTCGTCATTTGAATGGTACACAGCTGAGGTGGTTTGAATAACCATGATGCTCTGTTAATAGGACTAAAGCCCTGTGCCAGTCCCATTTCCCCTGCGCTCCTGTCCTTCTTTAACTGCACTGAGTCTTAAGACGATATTTGATTTTCAGTCGGGTATAGAGAATAACACATTTAAAATCATAATACATTTCAAATTGTTTACAAGTAACAAAAATAATAATGGTAATGAACCATAATACAAAATGAGATCATGATTTTTACATGTGAGGTAGTTTGGTACATCATTAGATTGCTGGTTCTGCTTCTTCTGTGGGAGAAACTTTTGTTATATTGTTTATCACCGCTCAGTTTCTGCTGTTTGGGGGATTTCTGTAGGACTTTGGACTTTCAGTTCATGTTTTCTTTGCAGTTGTTTCAGCTGTTAGGATTTGATTTCTTATTTGGGCGTAAGGTGTATTATTTTGAGAAAATATTCTTATGTTTGTCTACTGTAAACACATTATTTTAGAGCAGGGTTGTGTTTGTGCGTTTAGAGCATTTGGTTGAATTTGTATTATAAAAAGAAACAATAATATCTTTGCACAGTAGAGCAATAAAATGGTAGCATTTTTGTATGGACAGAGCACCTTTATTATAATGTTTTAACTCGCCTTTAGTTTTAATATTCCTCTTGGTCAAAAGTATTTTTATAGATGAAACACTAGTCTGTTTTTTAAAGATCTATTTTACCCAAATACATGTTGATTAGAATAGAAAAAATCCATTTAGTGTGATGTATCCTGATTAATATTAATTGATAAAAATAACAGTTTGATGGTATGGAAAAACATCTAAATTTAGAAAACTGAGGCTGGAATCCTTAACAATATTGGCCTTTTTTTAATTGTTTTGTTATACTGAAAACGGTTATTTAATTAATGATTCAATTCAGTTAATTAAAGGTTGTGGTTCATAGTTACTGGTCTTAATTTTGACTTCAGATATACTGAAATACATAACCCAAAACACTGAAAGAAAAAAAAACTGGATTTCATGTGTTACTGTATTATAGTAATGCTGCTGCCCATATGCATTTACCCATATTGGGTTGCCATAAGTATGTTGTCTAAATCAAAAATTGTATGCATTTATAATTCAATCAAAATTATGCATTTTCCACAAATAAAATGATCCAGAATATATTCTCATTTGTTTGTAAAGTTTGTCAAAAAAAAAAATAATAGAACATAATTATAGCAACAAAAATGTATTTTTGAGAATCTACCATGTTTAAAAATGATCACTGTCTCTTTATTTTTGACTTTCCTTTTCTTTTTTCCCCACGATTTTGTTTAGCAATATGTTGTTAATGCTTCTGTAATTCAATAAACAAATATACTGATGTAGTTGCATTTCTTTCTTTTTTTTCTTTTGGTAGTTGATCCTATTTATGAATATAGCTGGACTTGAATTTAGTACCTATTTTTGCTGTCCAAAGGTCCTGTTATCATAACACCATTTTCTAATCTACAGTGATGAACTTGACCTCACAGGATATGTTTAGCTGTTAACAATTGTCTGGTTGATGAATAGCCAACTGCAGGCTTTAAATACAAGAATAATCATCTTTAAATTCTACAGTGCTTCCATAGTTTTTGTTTTTGTGTACTCAAAACAAAACAGCTGTAAATAAGTTCTGTGCTTATGAAGGAAATGAAGAAACGTAAACTTAATTGTGGATTTTATCATTTATTGTAAAAATGTTTGCATTGCACAATGTAGCAGCTCACTGTGCATCTGTCAGTAAGAAGCTGAGATCACTGTCCGGTTCATACTCCGTAGTATGCTTCCCCCTGAGAAAGAAATCCACAGTCTCACTGTCTATTTGGGATCGTTTTTTTCTGTTATATTTTCCATGTGCGTGAGCAAGAGTCTCTGCATTACCTCTGGAACAGTCGTGCTTTGGTGCTCCCTAATAAGGTGGCTTTGCTTCCCTCCACTAAGAGCATTGAGCCTTCCCGAAGACCCTGCCATGAACAGCATATAGTGGTAGAGCTCAACTACTGCTGGAAATTACATTTGAAAATATATGCAAAGAGAAAACGGTTCTTTCTTTTAATTTCAGAATATTACTGTTTTTACTGTAATATTGATCAAATCAATGCAGCTTTGTTGAGCATTAAATTGTCTCACTGACCCCAACAGTATTGTACATGTTAACATACCAGCACACATGGTGTGTCGGGCTCCTCGTGGTATTGGACAATTCTCTGTTCACGTGTTTCCTGTAAAATGCCAAATCAAATCTGCGTTCATGAAGCCTGAAGGATCTACCTTAAAACTTTGGTTTATTATATTTGATATATTCGGTAAGTTTCATTATTTTTTTTCATTTATGTAAAATACATGTTTTTGGGTGATTTTATGCATATAATATTACTTAATGAAGTTGTGCATGATCATTTGAACGTACCCCCATATGCTTGCTGTTGGGATCAGCATCCAGATAGTGAGGGTTAATGTTGAAGGGCACTAAACCAATGGCAGCAAATGTGGGTGGATAGACAATGGGCATGTCATTGGTGGTGTTGATGCTGATGGTGGAGACATTGGTACCTGCACTTGATCCCATGTAAGGTATCCCATCCTAAAAGAAACAACTACACCTGTTACAGGCAATTACACTGTATTTTAGACTTTGATTAATAGAGACACGAACTCACCTCTAAAACTCTCTTTCTAATCTCAGTTACCAGCTTGTAGTCATAGAGAGATTTCAGCAGGCGGAATGTATTACCGCCACCTAGTGGACAAACAAACAGCATAGCACAAAGTCAGACCACACACTCACTTTTTTTTAAATCATAAATGAAATGTGTGTAGTGTGTTTAGTTTAATGTTTAGTATTTTTCTTGTCAATTGTAGTAGTTTATATATAAGTGCTGTCAAATGATTAATCGCATCCAAAATAAAAGTTTCTGTTTACATAATATATATGTGTACTTGTGTATATTTATTATGCATATATAAATACACGCACATACAGCATATATTTTGAAAATATTTACATGTATTTACTTGTATATATTTATATTCTTATAATTTATATTATATAAAAATATATTTAATATATAAATGTAACATTTTTCTTAAATGTATACATGCATGTGTGTGTTTACATATACATAATAAATATCACAGACATGTTTAAACACAAATATAAGCAACACATTATTCGATGCTTTTTACTTTTGCATTTACTTCTAGATTTATATATTAAGTTGCTCAAGCAAGTGGCAAAACATTTAAACTACTTTTCTTACGTTATCACAAACTTACCATTGACAGAAACAGTCAGTTCTACTGCCTTTCCTTTTGCATTTAAATCTTTATTACAAGCAATCCTGCAGTTCATAAAGAACTTTGTTTTCCTACCTCCACAAATGCCATCTATTATTGCTTGTTTATCTAAAAGTGCTCTTTCCCTTTAAACATAGCCAAAAAGCCATATGTAGACTGTGAAACACAGTAGACTTTAATAATATGCATTTATGGTGTAATTACTACATTTTCGTGTCAATCCATGTTCATATTTACTGCAAAAAATGCGCTGTTACTTTAATTCAGCGCTTGCAGCGCAGCAAACA